GCTGCTTATAAATTATCGATTTATTATTAATATTTTATCATTACGTTCTTTTGAACTTCATCGAACCATATAGAAACAAACTTTGAACTAATTTTTTTAATTCTTACTTTTAAAGCCCAATCACAATCATGAATTGCATCTTCATATCTTCCTTGTTTAACATATACTTGTGCTCTATTTGTGTATAAAATATCATAATCTTTTTTTATTTGTAAACCCTAAAATAATATAATGAAAAAAAGCATCCATTCAAATTAATAATTTACTTGTGTATAATAATCAATAGCTTGATCATATAATTGTTGATGAAATGCGTCATTTCCTTTTGTTTTTAATTCATCAGCTAAAATTTTATTTTTACGACGATTTTCAGCACGTTCTTGAGCATCTTTTTCCAATGCACTCATAAATGCATCTAAACGAAAAAAATAAAATAATTTCAGGTTTGTATTTTAATTTTTCTTTACCTGGTGATGTTTGTTGTTGTTGGGTTGATTCTGAAGATGATTTATTTATTACAGTACGATCGAAACCTGTTTTCGATATTTCTTTAAGTAATACATCAGATTGTTCCATTGCTTTTGATACTTCATTTGCATTATCAGAAGATAAATTTTGAACAATACGATCTAAGAATATTTTTTCCAAAAATCATTTAAAAATACTTCAATTTAATTCACTTACGAATATCATCGACTTTTGCTAGAAATTTATCAAGATCTTCTGTTGATTCGTCAGCCATGGATTGAATTCTTTTTTTTGCTGTAAATGAATTTTATTACGCCATTATCATATCGTTTCCACGAACAACTAAAAAAACTAACATTGAATTTATACATTGGAAGGTGGCGCTATGAATTTGAATTGGTTGTTTTTAAATGACAAGGCGGAAGAGATATGAACAAAGACAAAATCGTTCGTTCGTTCGTTCTTGTCATTAACAACGAATATGCCTGAACCAGCACCACGACGGTAAATGAAATGAGTTTTAAAATGAAATATTTTTATGAAAGTTTTTCGTTTTAGTTCATTAGCTGCACGACGATGTACAATAAAAGTTTCTGAATTTGATGATGATATTGATGATCAAGAAAATTCTCTTAATGATAGTCTTACAGGACGACGACAATCACGTGTATTGAATAATTCATTTAATGGTGGTGATGAACCAATTCAAACACCGAAACAATTAGTTGATTTATATCAAAAAACAGTTGAATTAGCAACACAAGGAAAAATTACTATTAAAAATGCATTTAGTATTCCACTTGTTGAACGTTTACCACAAATTTTAAATGTTATTGCACTTGATGATAAAGATAATCATAATTTAGGACCAAATTTTGTTAAAGCTGGTTCCGTTATTGATACAAGGTAAAAAGAGATACATTCGACAATCTTATTGATTTTCACGAAGATTTTATATCGTCCTTTCGGAAGAGAGAAACATCTAATTAAATATGAAGAGTTAGATTTATCGGAAAGGATTTCATAGTAGAAGAAAACTTCTTACAAGAGAATCAATCAAATTGATATCTGTCATATGAGGTCTACAAGAGTGTCGTGATTAGAATAGTGAAAATCTAAATGAATTCTCGATTAATTCGAGTTCATAGTTCTCTAGAATGAACTGCATTGAAAAGAATTTCTTCAATGATTGGCTGCCGACATAAAAAAAAAAACTTGCTTTAGGAAGAAAATGCAACAACTTTACGTCCTATCATCGAACATCAACATGAAATATGACTACAGTTTTAAGTAGAAACTCTTTACTTATTGAATTTACAAGAAAATTCTAACATATTAAAAAGATGAACTTTCTGAAATATTCAATAACCTGAAAATAAAATGCTCATTTCATCTAGATCTTCAAGAAAATTTTAGAGATATAGAATAGTTTTGAAAACTATCCGGTATGAAGAATCAATCTGATCAAATCGAGAAGATGATTGCTTCTCTCAAATTTTGAAAATTTTTCTTTTACTTCTTTAGTGCTAAAATTTATGGTTTTCGTGTTGATGCATTGCATACAGAAACTCAAAAATTAAGTGGAAATATTTTAAATACTGATGAAGTAGCATCGCCTGATGGAGAGATTAAAGAAGAAGGTCGAACAGATGTTAATGGTGAAAATATTATTTCTGAAGAAGACGAAATAAAAAAACCTGTACGTCGTGTAAAAGCTAAAACAACAACATTTGTTTTAACTGATTTATCTAAAATAACACTTGAACATGAATTTGAATTTCGTCCATTACAACCACCACATATGTGTCGATGGCGTGGAGGTATTGGTACTGATTCAATATATGCTGAAATGGTATCAAGTACAATGTATTCATCAAGTGATTTTCCACTTATTGATGGTTTTACTAATGCAAATATTCAAATTGAAGAAGAAGAAACGAAAATAAATAGTATTCTTGATAGTACAATAAATCATATGATTGATTTAACATCATTACGTAGTGTTATTAAAACTAATGAAGGACATGATCATGTTCTTGGTAGAAATTTATTTTTTGTTTTTTTTTGTTTAAATTTATTTTTGTTTTTGTTTTTCTTAGGAAATCAAACATTACGTGAATTTGTATTTAATGAAATTCCAAGTGGTTCATTTATTGATACAGTTCATGAAAGTTGTCTTGCACAAATGGATGAAAGTATGAATAAATCTTGTGTAACTAATGATGATATTGATAATAATGATGATGGATATAATCATGAAGAATTAATTCATGCTGCTATTGAAGATCTTAATGATGATCCATCACATGCAAATGAAGTTTTTAAAAATGCATTAAATGAATTAAGTAATCCAGATCCATCAAGTATTCATTCGAATTTAGGAAATTTTCAATCACAACAATCAATAAATGTAAGTATTAACAAAAAGTGATTTTATTATTTCTTCTAAATCAATATTACAGTTTCATAAATCAAATACATAAGAAGTTCGCGTCTCTGGATGTATGCCAAGATTCGAATTGAAATTCGAAAATGATTTTTTCCCTCGTTGAATCTAGACTAGCGATGTGCGCAAGTTACAATTTTCGATTTCAATGATCCTTATTATCTATTGATACTTGATTAAACTTTTGTATTTTATACATGTCTATTTTCTAGTCAAATCTTCCATCAACTAATGGTTTATTATCATCATCATTTATGAGTACAATATCATTTGCTGATCAAATGCCAAATTTGTTAAATTCAAAAGAAGGACAATCCGAATATTCATATTTTGATGCAGCTAAACTTAAACTATTTGCTGGACCTAATATATGGAAATTTACTAATTTACTTAATACAACTCAACCAACAATAAATACATCAATTGTTCAACAACAACAAGCACCAGTAACACCACATAAAATTACTAGTATAGGAAGAGAAGGAGGAGGTCCAAAACGAAATATTCGTATTGATACATTTAATCAAATATCGATTGAACAAATTATGTTAGGTTATAATAATAATGGTCGAGATAAAAAAGCTGTTAGTACAAGTCAAAGTTCACTTTTATTACGTATACGTGAAAGAAGTTTTAATCAAATGCAATTAGCTCGAAAAATACGTCCATTAAGTGATCTAACAAATTTTTATAATTTTCCTGATTTAAATATTGAATATTTGGATTTAATTAATCGACGAAGAGAATTACAACAACAACATTATTATGATCAAGATGATTTTGATCATCAAGATTTTCAAGATGATAACCATCCGGAAGATGAAAGTAAGATATTCATCGTAATAAAAGAATGCATTGAGACAATACACTTTCAACCAATCATTTTTTGAATCTATTTTAAAATAACTATGTATTTAATAGACATCAATAAGAAAAAAAAAACCTTCTCCAGTTTAGACTATGATTGTTCTATTGAAACTCTGTTGATTTTTTCCTGGTCGAGAAATAGTAACGTGATCGACAACTTATTTTGTTCCTTAATGGGTCATGCGATGCGAATTCATATCCTGAATTTTGCGACTATGAAAAGACCTAAGTGAAGAAGAGATACTTATGACTATATAGAATGAGAGATGGAATTATACATTGTAGATTGTTTCAAAGACCTGAGCTCATTCCTTTATCTATCTGAACAAAAAGCTAAAGTATATTTTCAGTCATTGAAAGTTTTTAAGACATTTCGTGCGTTTATTCTAACAAGCAAACGAGTGAGTCAGGTACTAAAATATGATGTCGCTTACATTTTTCTAAATCAATCGTTAAAAACATATGAGAAAAATAAAATGTATTGAAATGATAACATACTTCCGATAATAGCGCCAGTCGAACAAGCCTAAAGCACATTTTGATAGAAATTGGTTTCTTTTCAATCTATGACTATATTTCATTTCTAGACGGTCCATTATCAGAAATCAATTATGATTTTGTTCGTCCAATTCATTATGAAAAAATAGAATTTGCTAAAGGTTCATCATCTGTTAATGCAAAAATTCTTAAACGTCAAATGATTGAAGAATTTACACGTCAAAAAGTCGAACAACAACGTACATTATCACTTGATATAAGTACATCAAGTCAACAATCATCAATATCATCATCACAAAGCCAACAACAACCAACGGTTGAATTTTCAATTTTATGTGAAAATTTAGCTGATCATGGTTATTTATCATTACAATCAGATTTAGCATCAGCATTTTATTGTATGTTAATTAATTGTAATGAAAATAAATTATATATGAAAAATAATTCAAAACGTGATGATTTATTTATTCAAGAACGTCCATTTATTGATCAACGTGATATTTCAACTTTATCATATTCATATACAAGTCATTCAAATTTATCTATTACTAATTAACGCATTATAATTAGAAATTAATTGTCTTATTTTGTTTTTGTTCAATAAAAACAATAATTGTGTATATACCGTAGTTATTATTATTTTTTTTTTGTTTTTGTATGTAAAAAAAAATGCATGAAACAAAAAACAACACAGAGATTTTTTTGTGTACACGAAAATGAATTAAAATTGATGTGTTTGTTTTAAAATTATTGAAATAATAAAGAGAAAGATATAAGAAGGAACAAGTTTTGTTGTAGAATTATACATTGTATTGATTGTTTGACCTTGAGAAAGTAATGAACGACCGATTAGATAAACAGCAAAATTTGGTTGATAAACATTATATGATTGTACCATTGAATTAACTGATTGATCACCACAACATGTTACAATAAAATCTATCAAGAAAATATTTTCGAAAAAATAAATATATCATTGAAACATACTTTGATATGACATACTTGGATTATTGACTAGAAAAGAAAAGAAATTATTTCGATTAGAACAAAACAACAACATGAAATTTTTTCTTATGATTTAAATTAGTATGTGTTGATATAACAAATGATACGAGATATTTATGAAATAAAACCAATGCAGAAATTTTGCATCATCTGTTATTACTGGTGTTTTAGAGTTTGATAATGATCTAATTTTATTTTGCTTAAATTTTCAAATCTAATGACTGAAGTTAAACTTTAGGATTCCGATACCGAAAATTTCCCGCCTACATTCTTAAATCAAGCGAAAAATTGAATCTCAAATCAAATGCATATTATTTCTCATAATAAAAACAAAAGAAAGACATTTTTCATACGTTCTGGTTGAGTACCAGCTAATGGCTGAACAGTAATACGTTCACCGGTCATTGCAATACAAGACTGTGATCCACTAACATAAGTCGATCCACCAGCATAACCACCTGCATTTTGATAATAATTTTGTGCCTCATTATTTGGTCCAATATTAACTTGTGGATTAACAGGAACATATTTTGTTCCATTCCAAACAGTATTCGATGTTGGTTGATTTGGAACTCCCAAATTGTTAAAATTAACATTTTGATTACTTGAATAAGTTCCATTATAACCTGGTAAATATTCTGAATTTGGTGGTGCATAACCATTCATAACATAACCTGGATTATACAATTGATTGTTAGAACCAAATGGTGATGGAGCAGCTGGATAACCTCCATAAACTTGTTGTTGCAGTTGAAAATAACCTGGACCAAGGTTCGATGATTGTAAACCTTGTCTATTTAGAAATTTCGAGTAATTTCGTCGTGTATTCATCCAATCTTGTCGTTTTTGACGAGAACTTTGTTGTTGTTGTTTTGGATTGTTTTTTAAATTTTGATCACGATTATAATAACCAGCTGAACGACGTAATATATTACTCGTTGGATCAAGAAGAACATCAGGACATATATGACGTAGAACAAACTATTACAATTTATAAAGCAAAAACAAAAACAAATGATTATTGAAATTTACAGAAAATGAAAAACATTTACATGTCTTAATTGATTTATATTTGTTGTCGTACCAATAGATTGTAATGCTGCATTTGTTGGAATAAATAATGTATAAGGACGATTTGTTTGTTTTAATTGTTCAAAAACACGTGTTTGTTGAAGTAATTGTGCAAATGAACTTAACATAATAAATTAAATATACAAATAAGTAAATAGATTATTGTTGTTACCTTGTTCCTTGTAATGATGTAAGAATTCCTTCAAGTGGAATAATCATTCCAGATACAATGCCTATAATAACAAGATTTTTGTTAAAATGAAAAGCAAAAATAATTATACCTCGAATAACATGCATAACACCATTTTTAACTGGAATATTTGATTCACTATTAAGAATTGTTGCTGTAAATGGTAAAGAATTCATTGATCGACCAACAAGTGTTACAACTTAAATAAAATAATTAAAATAATAATAAATTAATAATTCACTTCTTACTATTTCCCTGTGCACCACTAGATATTTGTGCTTGAATAGAATATTGTGGATCCATTGTTGGATAAATTTGATCATTTTGAAATATTGTTGAAGGTTGATGCGAAAACATTGGATAATAGTTTGGATTTTGTTGTTGTTGTTGATTAGGATATTGCTTTGGGGAATATTGTTGTGATTGAAAATTTGTATTTGATGGAGTGTTTATTTGTCTACGGCGTCGTGGTTTTTTTTTGTCTGATCTAGAGCCAGTTCGTTGAAATTGTGGAAATTGAAATTGTGGTTGTTGTTGTTGATTAAAACCACCCGGAATAAATGGATGCTGTTGTTGAGGAATAAATGGTTGTTGCTGTTGAGGAATTAACGATTGTTGAGGTATGAATGGTTGTTGTTGTTGTTGAGGTATTAGTGTCTGTTCTTGCTGTTGTAGCCCAGTCTGATACGTATTTTGTTGAGCAAATGAATTTGGCACTATTGGTGGGGATATTGATTCATCTGTATAAACTGGAAGTTGTAAAATATGTCGACGTAAATGCTAGAAGATATAAACTGTTACGACCGATTTATCGCGATGTAGATGAAGTTTTTATCTTAGGCCAGATATTCAAGATTATTAGATGATCATCGAATTTGCATATATGAGCAATTTCATTCGTTAGCAATCTGATTTCGTGAAGTAAAAATGTTCATATCTCTGAACTCGAACATTTCTTTTAACTGATTTTTATATAACGGATATATAGTGAGTTAGTCTAGATATTCTAAAAGACTCAGTCCTACTGACTTCGGTTTCAACAAGTTGTTGTTAAAAGACCAGTGTTAGTGATGTGACACAAAAAAAAAGGACTAACAATTTTCATTGCATACATTTACATATCCTTCAAATTCAAACAGTATTTTTAAAAGTTAAATAATGCGTTTGGTAAAGGAGTCTTTAGACTTCAAAATCTTTACACAAAATTTTTCCTAAGTATACTTAGGTTATTTAAAAATTGAGTTTATTCGTTTTTAGAGGTGTGACGATTTTGTTAATGACGTCAGGGAATTCGAATATAGAAATGCAAAAATTCTCTGATAATTGATTGACTAGATGAAAAATCAATCCTAAATGACAAGAATTCATTTTAGGGATTGTGTGATGATATCTTAACAAAAAGTCTCATTCTGGAGTTCAATCTTGCTAAAAATTTCACCGTAAATATAGTCAATGATGTAGAGTCGATTTCAAAATGCTTAAACTTTTTCACAATAAAATTAGATAGTTTTTCGCTGATTACATTTTAATTGGTTGCGGAAATATATTCATAGGAAAAGAATTTGTTCAAGAAACTAATCCTAATAGAGACTTCAAGTAAAATCGAAAATAATCTTGTCCCGTTCTTATTGATTTTGCCCATATATTGAATATGAAGTGTTCCTCTTTACAATCTTTTATAAAGCCTTCATTTGAGATTAGATATTGAGTTAAACATACTAATACAATGTCAACACTCGATGAATACAAGTTGATTTGTAAGTCAAATATAAGCTCAATGTAGAGAAATATATTTTTTGTAAATTCAATTACAAGATCTAATTAATTGTGATATTAAAGAATATTTTATTTACCATACTAAGTTCTCGTAAATTTCCGAATTGTTGAATAGACATTTGTTGTGGTATAAGTACCGTTATATTAAATACATTTTGGGGATTATATATATTCATATTTGGTGTACCTTGTAATAAATTCATTAATTCTAAATCGCCTGATTGCTGAACAAGATTTATAAAATATCTCAAATAATAATAAACCAAAAAGAGAATTTTTTTTTAAAGGTTATCCATTCTTACTGATAACTTCGTGATAGTTCATCTGCAGCTGATCGAATTTGTGTACTAAGAATCGTTGATATGGGATAGACAATACCATTACCATATAATCGAATATCTTCCGGACGATGAACTAAAATACGTGCTACATGTCGACCACAAATAACATCAACTACAAAGAGAATATTTATGAATTAAAAATATGAATTAAACAAAAAAATATATTACCTTGAAATGAATGATCTGGTTGTGATACTGTACGAAATGTAAACCATTTATTTTCACTTAATGTTGTTATTTGTTTAGTTGAATCCATTGTCCTTGGATATAATACTAATGGAGTAACATGTGATTTGATAAACTAAATTATTTAATCATTAAGCGAAAACACAACTAAAAAAAAACAAGAAAATCAAACTCTTACTTCATTTATATCATTAGTATTATTCATATAAAATTGTTCAAATAGAAAACTTAAACTTGGACCCATACTAGCAAATGCTTGATCATTTGGTAAAAACCATGTTTGATGATGCATTGAACGTAATTCAGATCGAAAATAATCACTACGTTCAGCTAATTGTCGAAGACGTCTTTTAAATAATAAAATATGTTTATGTATTTAAAAATGAAAAATTTCATTAAGTAAATCTTACGAAAATTGTCTGTCTTCAAGTGCATCATAAGCTGTTTTATATTGTGTTTGATCACGTCTTTCAGGTGGCCATAAAATATTATCAATTACATGGATTATACCACGACTCATTCGACGTGATTGTAATATAAAAGCATTGTTAATAGTAGGACGCTTAAAGAGATATTAATAGTATGTTTTCTTTTCTGATTTGAAACTTTTTTTTAAATGTTTTCCTCAAAATTAATTAAAAGAATAATAATTTACATCATGTCAAATTCAAATCAAAATAAAATTGAATATAAATTCAAGAAAGATGTGAATAGGATAATTAATTCAAATTAGAGATTTCCTTAGAGAATATGACAAAGAAAGCAGTTTTAGTTTCTCGTAGAGGGTATGAGTGAGAAACAAATCTACACCTATACATACATTCCGCATTTACATTAATATGACAATAATGAAATACATTATATAGGCATTTATCGAAACACAAGCTTGATGATATATATATATATATACAGACTAAATTTAGACGTTCTCACTTAATTCAGTAAACCAGTTTTTTTATGAGTAAATATTGAATAAAAATAAAATTTCAAAGAAAACATGCATCTGATTATTCTATTTGAGAAGTATTTTCAATAGTATTTTGCTTGCTCGATATAATTTTCAGTAATGCTATCTATTATATTAATACATAATCATCAAGATTGAGAATGTCGACCTTGGACATGTCTAGAAATATATACAAAATGGCATAGACGATAATTTATTACTGATTCTCATAGAATAGGTATCTAATTCAACAATAATAATTTTTTGAAAGCTTCAGATTAGTTCCTGTAAGACATTTTAAAATAGAAAGAGAGTGGGTGGATATATTTGGAATCACCTTTGACAGAAACAAGATATAGAATCGTGATTTTCATCGTTGGAAAGAAAAGAGAGTAATGTATGGATTCACAGAGGATAGATTTTTTTCGAGAGACTTATCAATTGTAAAGAAACCATATCATGATTGAAACACAATATAAAATCAAAATATAGTATAGATTTTGTTCCATATTAGTTACTAGATAAAACGTGACAGAGTACTGTTAGAAACTTCAAAGAGTTATAGGAGTTTTACATGAATTTTCGTCGATTCGGTCGAAAAAAAAATCCGACTGATTTCACGTATGCAATAAATAGTTATACAATCGGACGAACAACACCGCTATCTTTCCGACTGATTGTTATATCCACACTCACAAAAAAAATTGAGTTTTGAGTAATTGTTTTTCTTTCAATAAAAATTGTTTACATTCATTTAAAGCTCGTAATATCCTAGCAAGTAATGCAATACTAAAACTTCCATATATTATGCTTTTGAGAAAAAGCTAAATTCAAACGACAAATATTTTGCTGCTGGAGTGTTTACTATTGGAATAGGAGAGAAAAAATAGATCTATTTAAAATTCTATCGTTTCCTCTCAAAAGTTGACCTTGAACCATCCATAATTACTTACTAATACTCCAATATTCCCACTAGGTCCCATCTGTCCATAATTTGGTTGTTGAATATATGGATTATAATTCATATAAGGTACAGAAGGATTTTGTAAATATTGTGTATTAACATTAGGATTAAAAATAGGATTAAAATTATTTGTTAAATTTTGTGGAAATAAATTTGGACTATTTGGTAATGAATTACCTAAAAACAGAAAGAAAATACATTTTCAAATAAATATCTTTTGTTTACCTTGACTAGCAAAATAATTTTGTTTTTGATTATAATTATTCACTAAAAAACAATAGAACAATTCCAATTCTATTAGGACTTTTTTTTTGTTTTATTCATTATACCAATTGGTGGCCTAGGTAGCATACTATTTTCAAATAGATTTGTTTGATTCAATGATGTATGTGTTAACCAAGATATACCACCTAAACCATAACCTGCATTGTCATAACTCTCATTGACATGTGGACCTGTTCCGCCATAAAATCCAAGGCCAAAAAAAACCTTTAAAAAATATTTTTAATTTCAATTTTTTTTCTAAACAATTTTCTTTTTTTCTTATCATACTTGAAAAGGTAAGGCTATAGTTGGTAAATTATTTTGTGCTCGAATACCAACCGTTTGTCTTGGATTAGCTTGATCAAATTTTGTTTGTGCCATATTATATAATATTTGTTCATCATAACGTCCAGGTGCAATATGATATTTCCAAAGTAAATTTGGATCTTCATTTTTTCGATTAAGATGCATCATAGCATCATTATTTGGTGCAAATATTGTAAAATCATTCATACCACCTGATTGTTGTTGAGGATACACGCCTTGTAGTAACATTTGAATATCTTGGTGGCGTATTAGTTGTTGATAAAACTATATTTAGATTTTTAATTAAAAAAATGACAAAATTATTTTTTTTTCTTCAAAACTTACTAATGTTAAATCAGGCATATTAGCTATGTCCTCAAGTGGACCAGCAAAACAATTAATAATAAATATTAATACGATAGAAAAATGTATAAAATTCATATTTTTATTCTAAAACAAAAAAGAATCATATTTGTATCAATTTATTGCATGTTTCAATCATTAGCACATATATAGATGTGTATGGAATCTGAATTCTTCTTCCTTAGAACTCATTGTTGAGATAGAAGGAAAAAAAAGAAAAAGGTGAATATCCAACACACACCATTGACCGTAGGAGGACGATGTGACCATTTAATATTGATTTGACGATGAACTCTATAATAGAGTTTCTTTTTTGTTCTCTTTTCAAAGTTCAAATTGAACAATATAAATGATGATCATAGATTGTTCTTAATAATGTTTGAATATGCATAAAGTACAAGATGTTATTTTGTCAATAATCATATACATAATAGTAGATTTGCAAGCAAAGAATAATAAAAAAAAAACATGAATAATCAAATATAGAGTCTTATCGGTAATGTCATCGAGTGTCTGAAACGAAAAAATAATATTTATCAAAATCATTCTTATCTATCTTTCTCTTTTTCCTAATATAGTACTTGATAAATGTCATCCAAATCATCGATCATATTGATAAATATATGCTAGAACTTGCTTGAATTTACTTAAGTACACAAAAAAATAAATTCATTGTCTTAACTAGGTAAATCATCTCGACTTTATATTTGTTCATGATCATCTAGTAGAATAAAATTCAGTCCCTATTGATAATTTACAATTAAACAGTATTCATTTATATCAAATAATATATCTAGAAAATACAGCTTTTTCTTGTTATTAGTTATCATTTTCATATAGATGAAATAATTCATATTTTTTTATTTGTATATTTATACAATATTTCAAACTAATCAAATGCTTGATTATAATTATGTTTTGAATATTACCATGAATTTTATTGAAATTATTGAATAGAAATGAAATTCTTTGTTCAGATAAATGTTCAATCAATAGTATTTGAACAATAAATAATTGGGTAATGATTGTTTTTGTAATAAATTGCATGTCCTTTAGCCATATTTAAATATATAAATGCTTCGTGTTCTTTTTTTTTGTCCATTTTATTTTACCTTGAATGAAACTGTTCTTGTTTCAATATAATGAGTATGTTTATGGTGATAAAAAGAAAAAACGAATCATGTTTTAGGGATCAAGCACATCCTAGTGTTGACGTGAAACAAAAATGTTTTGTATTTAACTGACTCAAATACTATGAATGATATTTTTCTTTTTTTTATAATATCTAAGCAGCTCTAGCTTGGTGAAAGTAAAAAAAAGTTAATAAGAGGTTCTTAAGAGTGATTTCGTCAGTCGATCAAGCATTTATCAATAGGGTCATTTAATGGGCGAAGTTAAGATATACTTTGTCTTACATCAATCGATTCCTTTCATATCGAACTGGAGTTATCGGGAATATTTTAGACTTCTGCCATTTCATTTGTTGGAGTCATAAGCGTTAAAATACGAAGAACTCTGGGAAACGAACGAAAAAAAGGCCATCTCCATTGTTTCGCTTATATCTCCTTCATTTTTCATCCAGTTTTGTTTGAGCAACATCTCATTCAAAAAAGCACATAAAAGTGAACAAAAACCACACGAAATGATTTCTCAAAAAGTTGGGTCTTTATATAAAAGCATTAGCTTATCTGAAAACTGCACCTTTATTAAACTGACTTTTTTTTAGATGGTGAACTATTTTCCAATGTGATAAGTGATCGAGGTGCAACTCTAATGCAGTGTCTCTTGAAGAGAATTTTTTGCTCTACAAAGTCACTATAAAGATTTTCAGAAGAAAGTTTCAAAAAAGGTGGGAGTGTGGCATTGTGCCTTTTATTTGTGTTTAGCAGATTCTGGTTAGAAAAATTATGGTTTGATCAAAATTAATATGATATTCTGAATCAGCATTGAAAATCGAGTTGACTTTTGCGTAATTTAAATGTGTTTGAAACATTTTTTTTTGATCGAAAGATTCAGCCCTAGTTTCCCTGAGTTTAGTCAGAAAATGAATTTCAAAAAAAAGTTATTTTGACAGGAGGAAACAAATTGTAAGATTTTAAAATGACAACAAAATACAAAATGGAAGATGATTAGACAATAGCAAGAGCCTTTTGAGGAATTTCATTTTTCAGTAAATCCTGAATCTAGGATGGGTCTTGGTGTGGTTGTGGGGTGTGGGTGAAGGGAAGACTAACACCCACACCCACACCCTTTTTTTCACCACATTTTGGAATATATAATCGTCTACGAACACCACGAAACAGCTTATGAAAATCTACAAACACCAGTTTTTTTAAAAGGTCTCACTTGAAAATATAGTGTGCAGGTTGTTTACCCTTTTCCTAGGAAGTAAAATATATAAAAAATGTGACCAAAATCAAATAGCTCAGTTTTGATTAATTTTATCAACTTTTACCCCTTTTCGTAAAATAATATGCTGCACTGTTCTCTGAATAACTTTTGATAGAAACGTCACAGAGATCTGTGGCTTTCACCATTGAGGAGAGAAGACCCGAAGCCATCGAAGTACATTAAACTTTGACAGATCAGCAGTTGACGACTCATATGAGTTATTCATGCAGATTTTCGAAAACACTCTGCTAAAGCTAATTTTCTTTTAATTTAGACTTCTAATAAGACTAATACATGGAAAAGAATCGTCTCTTTCGATCTACGCAGGACCCATGCTCCTAACTAGTTCCATGCAAGAGTCATTAGACTTTTCCTAAGAACCTCGATATCAGTTAAGCTACCGGGGATGACTTGCGAAAGCACCTAGAGAGGGGAGTAGATGCCTGACTGGAGTTAAAATTGGATTGAAAACTTCGGAAAAAAGTTAGGACACACAAGAGTTACAAAGAAATTTTCGACGGGAAAATCATACTATAGTCGGATTCCTCGACCTGGGTACATTACAAATTTTAATTATATTGAATGACAACAAAATTCAGATAAATAATTCTCTATATTAAAATTATTGATTTTACAAACATTATTTAACTTTGAAGCAAACTTTGACTAAGATGAGATCAGATTACAAAAATTCAATTCATATCCAATACTGTTCTGACGTAATCTAAGGGTGTGGGTGTGGGTGTGGGTGTGAGTTAAGATAAATGCAAATCACATCCACACCCACCCACACCCACACCCACACCCACACCAACACCCTGCCTGTTGTTGATCACCTTTAGTAATATGATCTTGAACAGCATGTTTAGAATCATTTGGAATTTCTAAGAAAAAAAAGAACAGAACTTTTTCTCTTAGTTACAATTATTTCTAAATGAGTACTAGTTGCACGTGAATTAACATCAACAAGGAGTTCTTGTCCATGCTCTTTTCGAATTGGAACAAATAAAACTGTTTTTTCTTCACTAAGTTTAGCAATACAGTCTTGAACACGAACTTTGAAATCATTTTCAATTTCTAAGAAAACACAACAAAATTTTTTCCCTTGATTAAAATTATTTTTAAGTTAATACCAGCTGTACGTGATTTAGCATCAGCAAGAAGTTGTTGTTGTTGTTGTTGAGTTTCAGCAACTGTTTTCCGAATTGATTGCAAAATAGCTTCATCAGTTTCTTCTGTACGTTCACGTGAATATTCATCAACTTGAATATGTGTTGAACCTTTAAAAAAATCGATTCATTAAAAAACTCTTGTTTCTATCATTTAAACTTACCAAGACAACCCATAGGATCATTGTTTTTTACTTGCAGAAGTGATTCTCCTGTAATGTTATTAATGTATTTGTTGAGAATATCTTGTGTGAGTTGCGTTGGTTAAGTTCTTGATTTTTTCTTCATATTCTTCAATTGAATCGAGGAGATACGAATGTCCATTCAGTTCGTTTTGATTGTTTATTATTTTCTTTTGCGTTTCGAGGAAAATGTTTATTATATGTAGCTAATAGAAAGCAATAGAGGCTATAATGAGATGGAAAATTCATATATAGCACTTACTTCGTCTTGAACAATATTTTGAAATGGTGAATTTGAAGTCATGATAATCTACAAAATACAAGAATATAACGAAGTGGTGGTAAAACAGATATTGTATAGGATTCTGCAATAGTTAAAGTTGAAAAAGCTGTAAGTAATGCAGAAGCACTTGTTAATAAAATAGTTGCTGGTCCTAAAATTGTTGAAACAAATAAAACAGCTTCTTGAAGAAAAACGAAAAAGAAAATTCTTTTTTTTTAAACGCAAACAAACTTGACTCCATCATATTTTATGTCGAATCAAATTTTTATCTTTTATATGAACAATTAAACGATTTTTTCCTGGTAACAACCAAACAAGATATCCACCATATAGTGTAGAAATTTTAATTGGATCTTCAAAAACTTTTTCAGCACCATGAACATATCTAAATTCATTTTAATAAATTAATTTTCTCTTTTTGATAAAAAATAAATTTTTCATACGCTCCAGCAACATGAACAGCAGCAACTAATTGTTTAACATAACGACTTGGTATACGATTACCATTTTCATCATCTTCAAATGCATCATCAAATAAAACATGTGTTTCAAATAGATAATAGTACGGATCAAGAATTCGTAAATTTTTTTCTACAGTTCGACGAGCATGTTGATCAGAATCAAGACTATTGAAAATGCAATAATAATAAATGAACATAATTTTCATTCTTTTTTTTTTAATCTACCGAAAAATAGATTTTAATAATTGAACCATTTCACTTGTTGTTCCACGCCACATTGTTGTACAAACATAAATCATTGGAACAGGCAATTTTCTTTCGAAAGTTAAATTAGGTTAGACATTATCTTTAGAAAAAAAAAGAACTGTTAACACAAAATAACTACTGCTACCAAAAGTAAGACAACTGATTTAAGCTAGCATCGAATGTGTTCGGTACTCCTTGATTATCTGAGCCTCTCTCATGCCACTGCTGTCTGTCACATTCATCGTGACTTCAAATTTTTACTCTCTAACAGAGATGGGACCGGTTCGGTTTTTAACCGAACCGAACCGACCGACCGTAACCGAAATCGGTTCGGTTGGAGATTTTTAAAAAATTCGGTCGGTTACGTTCGGTTCGGTTAGAGATTTTTTCGGTTACGGTCGGTTCGGTTAGAAATTTTAAAAAATTCGGTCGGTTATGTTCGGTTCGGTTAGAAAGACTCGACATAATCGTTTCATTTGAGTTCAATGGACTTTTTCCGTGAAACATAAGAAGAAAAAAGAATATAATCGTACAACAATTAGCTGTTGCTTGCAACGCGGATTATCTCACATATTTTTAAAATTTGCCCTGAGAGGTAAGGAAGTTATAATACAGTAAGAAGATCCAATGAATAATCTTTATTCTTTGCTTTCTCTAAATGTTCATTATTTTTAGTTGCTATTGTTTGATTTGTTGTTGCTAATTTATAAAGCACTAATACCCTAATTAACATAAACTAAACTTCGCTTTCTCTAAACACGGTTCGATTACGAAATTTTTGAAATCCGGTCGGTTACGGTCGGTTCGGTTAGAAATTTTAAAAAATTCGGTCGGCTACGTTCGGTTCGGTTAGGGATTTTTTCGGTTACGGTCGGTTCGGTTAGAAATTTCAAAAAATTCGGTCGGTTACGCTCGGTTCGGTTAGAGATTTTTTCGGTTACGGTCGGTTCGGTCTGGCAAAAATGCCAACCGATCCCATCTCTGGTGTACACTTGCCATTAGAAACATTGATTGGGGCCTTATATAAATTAGTACAAGATTTTTAAAAATAACGATGAAATTGGTTCTAAAATAACCAATTAGAAATTAAATGATTTATTAGCGTTTGAAAATGATCTATTTATTAATTTCAGTTATTCTTCTTTCTTGTCAACAATGCCTACTTCAGCTAAAACAGACATAAACAGTTCTTTTGATCACGATGCTGTTCAACAATCGAATAATAAACAAAATTCAATTAATGATGTTGTCGCGGTTACAAATCATGATTGTAAGGCTATTGTTGGAGCTTCTCCTATGCTTGCAATCTAACTATGATCTCTATTTAGCTGGCTTTAAACTCGGGAAAATCATAGATATGGAAGGGAAAATCACAGATATGGGAGAAAAAAAATATTCGATTACTTTATTTCATTTCACGCTGGGTAAAAAAATGATGTGATCATGGACGGCGATATATTGGTTAATTTTGGAAGTTGTGGCTCACGCACTATATTTGATCTTGATAATTCAAAACAAAAATTGTTATTGGATAAATTAAATGAATCTGGTAAGTGCTCGTATATTTTTCTCAAACAAGTGATCGATTCTCAGTTTGTTTTAGATCTAAATCATCGTTCGATAATTCAACTGCTCTCGGAGATTCAATTAAAAGATGAAGTATGTTTGTTTTCTTGCTGTCGGCAAATATTAAAGAAAAGGAATTTTTCTTAGTCTGTCGTCACCAGAGACCGAATCGAACCGACTTTTACGGACTCGAGTTCGGTTCGGTTCGACTATGTTTAAAAAAAATCGGTTCGAGTTCGGTTCGGTTCGGCTAAATTTTAAAAAAACCGGTTCGAGTCGAACTGAACCTAACCATTATAGTTCGGTTCGGTTCCTGATAGGCGTGGCATTTTCCTGTAAGTTTATTTTAAACTAAAACTGTTGCCAATATAAATTTAAATTAAATAAAAATTTTTCTGATACCAAAATTTTAATTTAAAATAAATTTAAATTGTTACGTGGAATAAATTTAAAATTATTTTAGATTTAAATTTTTGAGAATTAATTTCTGAAAATAATAAATTTTTGTGAATTAAAATTCAACAACCCAATCGTCAAAATACATGACTTCAAGAAAAATAGATCAGAAATAAAGAGAGAAACTGCTATTATGCGTTAATATCCGATCATCCCTACAGCAGATCCCGTAAGAAAACGGCCGTGCTCCGTTCCTGTTATTTTCTAACGATAATAAAAAACTTGTACAGATACCATTGCTAGTAGACCGCAGAGATAAATGGTTTCTTTTGAGTTCTATAGACAACTATACAAAGTGAAACTTAAATTAATTAAAATGGAGCTTAAAATACTTCAAATATATTTAGATGTAATCTAAATTATTTTGAGTTTATTGAATTTTATGTAAGTTCGATTTAAATTCAAAATAAAATGAAATCTTTTACAACTTATTTCTTGACTTGATAAATTTTTGTAAATGTAAATTGATCGTCCACAATCCCTGATGTAAAATGTTCTATTAAAGATCGTTTGATAATCCCATATAGCATCACAATCTTACAAAAAAGATTATAGCTCAGTTAATCATTTTTCTTATGTACTTGTCCATATTTATTCGCTTTTCAAAAATTAGTTAGGGTCAGTTCAGTTTAACGTCGCTTTTTAAGAAGCGGTTCGAGTTCGGTTCAGTTCGATTCTGTTTTAAAAAAGGCGGTTCGAGTTCGGTTCGGTTCGACTGCGTTTTTGAAAGAGCGGTTCGGGTTCGGTTCGGTTTGACTAAATTTTAAAAAACCGG